GTCACTTGAATTCGATTGAACATAGAAAAACAGGAAAGTACATAACTTGTAGTAAACAGAAATATTTGGTGATTAGTGGCATACAGAACTGAAGAATGATACTTGTAGTTGCAAGTATCAATAGTAGTTCTCTTATATGGCTTAATAAAAAGAACAAGGGTATTGAAACATCTTTCAAAGAAACAAAGAAAACACTAAACACATAAAGGGCAATATATATACATAATGAAAAATTACAATCTAAAGTATCAGTCAACTCAAGCAGATAAAATTGCTTCAAAGTAGTATTTTTTCAATGATCTGGAAAAGTTCTGGGTATTCTTTATATAACGCGGTATGCCATTTCAAACTTTCACTCCGGTATATTGTACTAGACGTTTGCTATAGGTGTTTTTTATGGGTGGTATATTGAAGTTGTTAAAAGTTTGGTTCCTCGTTTGGCGTCGGGGAATGCACAGTGATGAAATTGGGAATGGTTCATTGTTTCTAACGACACTGTTAATACATGTAGCTGATTTTAGTTCCCGCACAAAATCAAATGGTAAGATCTTTAACCTAGAGAAAAGTGGTTTGCTATGTTCGTAGTACGGTGAGAAAGTAATCGTACGTATAGCCCGTTTTTGCAGACGACGTATTGGCTCAAGATTAGTGTCATACGACAAACCCCAGGATTCTACGCAGTACAGAAGGTACCAGTTAACTAAAGCAAAATACAAAGTGCGCAAAATTGTAGTGCCAAAATATTCACGTGCTTGCAAAAGGACATAACAACTCGAAGCTAGTTTCGAGCTGACTGTTTCTATTTGACTCGGCCAATTTCAACAGTTGTCTAGAACAACACCTAGGTAAGTAAAAGAATCAGTACATTCCAGGGATGTAGATAGTTCTAAGTACATCTCTATTTCAGACACAAAAATAACTCCACTAAAGCACTCATACACCCTAAATGAATATTGCTTTCATACAGATTGTTTTAAATACTCTTTCTTTCCGCTAGCCATCCGACAGTGGAACAACTTACCTTCCACTATTGCCAATACCACCTCACTAACTACCTTTCTATCACTACTCGAAAATTACTTACATGATGCACAAACATAAAACTACAAATATTTCGCGCCTTTCGTTAGTGATGCATATTACTATTAGTATTTATCCCGCTACCCACATTCCAGTACCTGTGCCTAGAATGTGTTTTTTTCATATTTTTTGTAAAGCTAATATGTAACTACTAACGTGTAACTATGATTGTATAAGCGCAATTATATTCATATATATGATTTGTCAGCGTTAAACAGATTCACAGTTTTGTATAAATGTTTATCATGTGTGAATTTTCATATTTATCTTAACTTTGCCATTCAGCACAAAAAGGGGAAAAAAAAGAAAAAAAACAGCAGTTATGTTATTTCACATTATTTTTTCCTTTGTGTTTTTCCTTAAATATTTATAGTCTGTGTCCTTCCTGCAATAATCCTCAAAGGGATTGGCAGTATGTACTAAATAAATAAAATATATATATAATCAAGAAATAAAGGAGCTCACTTATGAAAATTGGATAGTTTTTTACTCTAAATTTTGGCCGTGGCACGGTCTTCGTCAGGAACTGCCTACGAAGGCCGTGCCACGGCCGAAACATAAAGTAAAAAACTATCCAGTTTTCGTAAGTGTGCTCCTTTATTTTTTTATATATGTGCACCGGACCCACAGAACTTCTTTTTTGAATCATATAGATATATATATATCTATATATTGAACACGTAAAGACTAATAAATTTTTTCTTCATTCTGTCTTTCATTTGCTTTGTCACCATGGTAACCATTGCTTGGGGTCACTGTGGCATAAAGAAATATAAAGAAATTGGATGTGCTTGGACATGAGCCATGTTCTTGTTGAAACTCATAAATTCACGAGAGGGGACAAGCAAACGTTACACTCATTTGAGTGTAGCACACTTGCGATGTATGGTTCATCTGTCACCAGGCAGCTATATGCAACGTTACTGGTCCTTCGGACAAAATTTGTTCGGTTAATGCGACTTGCCACCACTTTAGCACCCGTTGCGATATATGGTTTATCTGTCACCGAGCAGCTATATGCAACGTTACCGATCCTTCAAACAAAATTTGTTCGGTTATAGCGACTTCCCGCCACTTTAGCGCCCGGTCACATGCTGGGCTGCATGCTGATGCTGTTTCTATGCACCTTCTTATTTAGTACTCGGTATGTGCGTGCTAGTCATGTCAAAAACGTATTCACGACTGCTCATAATATCGCTAGGACAATATTGACGTCATAAGAAACTGAGCCACAGACTTTGGGTGGTCCAATCCGGCCCTTGCCAATGCGGCAGAGCATGCTCCCTTTCTTGGCGGAAAGCTCGCGAGCCGCTTCTTTATATCGGATGCTTCCATATTGGCGATGGCAGGTTTTCCAGTCCTTATCATATTCTTGCCAAAAGGGCAAAGGGCAGCACAGGAAAATGAAGGTGGCTTTCACCAGAGTATAAAGTTGGGCATGTTGGTAAGACATACTTAATCGACGTAGCGCGTTTTAAAACATAGGACAAAGGAAGGCACAGAAGGAAGCGCTTAAAGCGCTCCCTTCTGTCCACCATCATACTCCGGAGCCATGGAACACCAACGGCGCACTGCGCAGAACCGAAGAGGAATCTAGCAATACAGAGCTTTGCTCATGATGACAGTCCATATTTTTATGGTATTGGCAAATTTTTTTTATTCCTCTCAATTCGAATGAATCTTTGCTCTCTTCTCCTCACTTCACTCTAGAGTATAACCCTTCCCCCTCTTCCGTGCCGTGCCGCCGGGATCCGATGAGCTCCGTGCTGGTCATGCACCGCCTCCGGAGGTTAAAACACTGCTGGGCCGCCGCCGGTAATTTCAGTACCGGGGCACAGGTGTAGTGCAAAGTCCAACTGTCTTGTACAGCTTGCTGGGCAACCTAGCACAACCAGGTGCAACTAGCCTGTGTGAAACAATGATTGAGCTAAATATTAGGTGTCTGTGCGCATTGAACACTCGGAAAAAGAGCTACAATTTTCTCACCGCTAGTCAAACCCGTCATCAAATCGCCATAAACTGCTTCCTGGTTGATTCGCCAGAACGACAGCGAAAACGAGAGCAGATGCCCTGCGTTCTATGAAGAAATGCCTCAGTCGACGCTACTATTGCGTTGTTATGTACCGTGGATGTAAAGGACGTCAGTTTTATTAATTCCTATAGCTGCCACGAAGTGGTGAGAGCAGTGAAAGCAGCAAAGCAGTGAGAGGCGTTGCAAACGAGTTGATTATAAGTGAATTACTCGCGTTCTCTTCAGCCGGTCGCATGAGAAAGTGTGATGATGTAAGTCTTCTATGATTGTTTTAAGTAGCCTTGACGGAAAACCATGGTAACATGTTTATGAAGCAAAACAAAGCCTCTGACTGTGGTGTGCACTGTGCAGCAGTAGACTGCTGACGTGCGCGAAAAACATCACACACATTGTGACCACTGACAATCTGAAGTGGCCGCTGCGACACAGCATCAGCATATAGGCTTTGAAGGCTCCAAGTACCACCTTCAAGTAGCGAATGTGAACATGTACCTTAAGCTAGCGAATTGCATAATGTTGATCATGACCGCAATCAGGTTTTGCTTGCCGTTGGTCTCCGTTATTGCCGGAGCTTTCTCAGAGGCCTCGGTTTTGCTTTTGGTTGTACTTCTAGAAAGTGGACACGCATGTATCCCCATTAGTAGTATATACAAACGGAAGACAAACGTTAACGGAACATTATAGAATGCCTAACAGTTCAACACTCAGGAAGCGAGAGATGGGGGAGAATGCAACTTCAACGACAGAAATTTTCTGGGTCATTCGTGCCGGATAAAGAGAGCTTCGTTCTGCTGACCATAAGATATATGGGACAATGGGTCGACGAAGTATGGATCCCAACATGAAAACATAACTGTTTATTTGATCGATAGATATGGCATCCAATCGAGCAAACTGACACTATGCTCGTCAGAATTGACTGAGCAATAAATGAAACTGAGCTTGGTTGCTTGGGTTTTTAGCCACCAGTGGTGACGTAAGACTCCGGTGAAGCTACGATTAAGCTGTCCCTTATCGAAAGCATGTTTCAACAAGTGACCGTATCACACTGGGCTAACCAATGATGAGACGGAGGCTGCGCAGGTTTGTGCACAGTGGTGGCAACAGATACACCGCTCATGTATCCACTTCATCGCTTTAGCATCATGTGTATGGGTTGAATAATTTGATCACTCACTCGGTATGAAATTCGCATTGGTTGAAGTCTGATTTTTTTCTTGGCTGTTCCAAAATGCTTTCTTATTCATTTTAACGTGATTCTTTTCCCGACATCAAATCTGCCTAGGGTTAGTATGAAACAGAGTTTCAAGAACCCACGTGGCTCAGTGGTAAAAGCACTAGGCTGGTACCCAGGGGACCGGAGCTCGAATGCTATGGGGACCTTGGTGTTCTTTATTCTCCAAGTTTGATTTTTTCTGATTTTGCGTGATAGCGGTTATGGACACCGGTGGTGGTGGTAGACAACTACAGTGCACGCGATCCTTGTTATGATCTCATGACAGCTTTCACTGTAGAAAGCTCTAGAAAGTCCGCTTCAAGCTTTCGCTTTGACTGTGTGGTGTGTTCTGTGCAGGCTTGGAGGTTATTGCTCAATACCACTACAACATTTAAGGTTCACTCTGACTTAGCATTCAACATACTTCTAAAAATTTTCAAGGATAAAAGCTTCCACTGTTGTCTCCAGTCCATGTGCTATGATATGAACTAATGTGCTAGTGCGTTTTGTGGTTGGGGGCATAGTTATCATCGAAGTCATGTTGCAACAGCCTTTCGTATTCTACAAAATTTCCACGTCAATTCGCTTTGCTGCTTTTTTAATTTGCCATTCTATATTACATTTGAAAACAGATTGTAAAGTCATGACATGATTGTGCTGTGTGTTATGCAGGCAGCCTGACAAGTGAAGAACTGCATGACCACCGCCTGTGGTCTCTGGACCGACCGCAGCGCAATGCCTACCACTTTCCATCTGCAGATCCCCTTGCTAGATACTTAGATGTCTGCATCTGGGAACATGGGTCCTCGGAATTCCGTGTAGCTACGGCTGCATCTGATGCCCTAATACGGTGGGTGGCTTGACAAGTTTTTGGGCAGGTGCATAGACATCAATAGCCAAGCATCAGGCTGTTGCAAAAACAGTGCATATAATAACACCTACCTATCTAGAGCTTAGTATACTGCCGGACATATCACTCCTATCTATGCACAGTATGTGCTGAAGTATTGCAAGATAGAAAAATTACACTGCTGACAACGTGAGTGCATTATAGTTTCCTTATCACTTAGGTTTTTTTTTAGGTGAGTTGATGTTCTCTAACTGTTGCACAACTTAGCAGGACACATAAAAGAAAATGCAGTCACATGATGAGGCAGGAGGGCACTTCACTCTCACCTATTTCCTGACCCTGCATGCCATATTCTGTACTTGTACTTTTTTTAAGTGCAAAGCATTTCATTGCATATTACAGGCACTTTGACAGTCTATCTACCTATCTATCTAGCCCCCTACATCTGGGTACTCTCGTGATCACCCCTTTTGACTTGGGGTAAACCAAAGTTGGTATGGTGGGTGAGTTGGTTTCGCAAATATGACTCTCGGGTCATGACAGTACCCATGAACAGGCATGTGCCCAGGTATGCAGGTATGTGCTTCGAATGATTGACAGTTTGTATCTACGCACGAGGCCAGGATTCCGGCTCACGAGGGGCTAGTTCCTTAAATGTATATCACGTGCCGCATGAAGTTGAACCCTTCCCCCCGCTCGCTCTTTTCTCCTCCCACCATGACGCTGACGAGTTCCCTACGGAACTGACTTCGCTCTTCAACCTGTTCTCGCCCATCTCTCATTGCGGGAACCAAAGAATAGCGCCGCGCTGCCAGCACATTCCTACCCGCACCGTTTAAACGCCGGCCGGTGTAGAGTACGGGAACATGTTCCGTACCAGCCATGAACAGTTGTTTAGACTGAGGACTTCTGTGTTTCTTTGGCTCGGTTGAATTCAAGTCCTCAGAGTTTTAATATATAGTCATAGATAATTTATATACAAAGAAGCTACGACCAACTGCATTAAATTCTTTAGTTTGTTTCTCGTCGTAGGTAATCTATAGTATTCATAATATCAGGTTGAATACCTAATTTGTGGCTAAGTCATAGTTTTTGCCGACCCGAACTTTTTTTAGGGCAGAACAAAGTTTTTAATCTTCTTTTTTTAGCTAACAGGCTATTGAAAAGCATGCAAAAAGTTGAGAAACATGTTAGTACGATTTTCACAGGAGAATCGTGTCCATTATACTGGACACTGGGATTCATTTGTTGAACATATAGGTACTTACATTCTGCTATTCTCTTTGAAAGAGCTCTGCTTTTGGCCCTGTTAGGTTAATAGCCTTATAAAACACAAGCGAGGTTTGTTTTGACCCGAGAAAACGTTTCTCATAGTTGGCTGTAGCACATAGCGTTCAGCACCACAAAGGAAACAATACGTAGAAGAGAGCGTGTATATTTTGCCCCCAATATAACTTCATCAGACGCCGATCCGCCTCGTGCTTCATGCTGTTGATAGATTCCCAGCATGTCCCAGTTTAATTTTTCTATGACGAGGCTTTAAAAGTGTCACGTTAAGCCACCTCTTTATTTCTTTCTTCTTTCTATATTGAGCACGATGTGCACCAATTGCATCTTGTGTTGAGTGTACTGGACGTAAGTAATTCTCGCATTGCCAGCAAAGTTTTGATTACAAAAGCTACATTTTTTTGTACAATTTATCGAAAAGACATAACAGAGCTCGTATAATTTAAATGGTTTCAATATTGCAAAGATATCTCCTGAAATACTTTTGGATACTTGACCGCATCGTGCGCATGTATTTTCGCGTAGATTGCGCAATTACTTCTGGTGGCCAATAAATAGGTTGATATATATTTGGGGTTTAATGTCTCAAAACCACCTTATGATTATGAGAGATGCCGTAGTGGAGGGCTCCGGAAATTTCCACCACCTGGGGTTCTTTATTGTGCACCCAACTCTGAGCACACGGGCCTACAAAATTTCTGCCTCTATTGAATATGCAGTCGCCGCCGGGATTCAATCCCGCGTCCTGCCGTTCAGCAGCCGAGTACCTTAGCCTCTAGACCACTGCAGTGGGGCGACCAATAAATAGGTGGGGATGAAGGATGAACTAGTCTTAAAAACATGTTACACGACTCTTACAGAAGCTACCAAAGTGGTTTCAACTCCGACTATAGCTCTGCTTACTTTTTTGCATCACTTTTTTGTCATGTTTTTGTCAATACTAAGTATATGTACCACCCTGCTGAAATCACCAAATGATGATTGCAGTAACTGTAAATAAATAGTAATAATAAATAATATGTTCAATACACTAGTCATGGGGTAGGAAAGGAATATGCTTGGCAACCACATAGTAAACGCTCCGAGATTGTACTGTCCAGTTATCTCTTGTGGAAGCTCTTTCACTTTCTCATTTCTTTGTAGCGCTTCTTCTTGGCGTAAATGTACATAAAGAGCTGAGTATAGTTCCACAGAAAAAAAAAAACACCAGATGCTCGGGACGGACAGCACAGTTACAGTGTAACCTGGAGGAGCGGCTTTTGTAGACCTTTTTGTAATTTAGTGTTAGCATCTATTTTGCTGGCATCTCATTGCAGGCGTCTTATTTTATAAGATACCCAGCATAGTTCCGTGCGTGTTGGCTGTTCTGATCAGAACTATCTGATCCAGATTGTGAGATAGGATGATGTCATGCAAATATTGTAAATGTGAATTATTCGCGGTGAAAAAAAATCCGTTTTCCCAATCGACATCTGGCAGATTAAAATCACCTATAAGAAGAACCTTATCGTTTGCGAAAGACGCCATGTGCGTAAAAAGATCGCGAAAGAATTCGGGGGGGAAAGTCAGGTGCTCGATAAGCGGCAAAAAGTAAGAATGATTTATCCCAGCAAGAAAACTTTAGTGACACGGTTTCTAAGTTATCAGCCTGTCGTAATGGGGTAGCGGCTATAGTGTTTTTTAACAAAACAGCCCCCCCGCCCCCCCTAGTACTTCTGTCACGGCGATACGCCCTGTACGACGGAGGAAACACAACTGCATCTTCAATATTATCATGCAGCCAAGTTTCCGTTATGACAACTACATGAGAATTGTAACTTAAAATAGTAGCCTTGAGGCTTTCCGATTTATTAACGACACTGCGGGCATTAATGTTTAAAACTCGAAGTTCTTTAGATTCAGAGGAGGCCTCCACGGAGGAAAGTTAAGCATTTCTGGTGCTGTTTTGACGACCGTCGATTTTGACCCTCAAGTTGTTGCTTTCATCCCATGTGAAAAGTTCATTGTTAATGCGCAGCTTATCGTTACGCAGGCTAACTTTCTTGCCTTGCTCTCTATCAGTTCTAGCGCTATCCCACAGCAGTTTACGTTTCCTTAGCGTATTGCGCGAATAATCGTTCTAAACTGATATTCGAGTACCCTTTAGTTTATGAGCATTCTTTAAGATATGCTGTTTTTCAGTGACATCCTGAAAGTAAATGGTCTTTCACTACCCGCGTTACCGAGGCGATGAATTCGGCCGACAGATTTACAATTAACCGAAAACTTCTTGGAGAAAACTTTTTCAAGAACCTTATTTTTAAGAATAGCTTCAGTTTCACCCATATCCTCAGGGATCCCAAAGACTACTAAATTGATCGCTTGCTTCTATCCTCGAGATCAGTCAACTTCGCCTCTAGCAATTTTACAGTACGTTCAAGGTCATCCACGCGTGAGGCTCGTCTTTGCAATTCGACGAATCTGGCTCCCCAATCAGCTATAACTTTTTCAACGTTATTCTGTTGTTCTCTGAGTGCAGTTACATCCGCTGTCAACTTTTTCTGGCCAGACAGCAGCTCCCTCAACATCGACTCGACAGAAGCACCACCACTGTTAGTGGGGCCGGGATTTGACTCAACGTCACCGCACAACAGCAACAAACATACACAGTATACATCATAAGCAACAGAAGCACAGCGTTGGGGGCACGGCAAGACCAAAAGACCGTGACAATCACTCCTAATCGTGCTGTAGCAGTTACTAACCTGCACGAGGTAGCAAAACGGTTTGAGCCACATGTTCGTCGATGGTCTGCCGTGCCCACAAAAGGCGTAGGTCTGGAGCTGGTGTCTTTTTAACTGGTGCGTCGACGTCACGTGGAACATAAGTGGCGGCACGAGTGGCGCGTCCCAAAACAGCGAAGGTGAGGCGTCGAATCAGCAGTGTCGCGACAGCAGTGACGTAGTTGGAAAGCAAGTGCACATGGCGAAGTCAGGCAGATATGCCTGGTCGATTGCTTTAGTCTTCAGTAGTTGCAGAAACGTTGATCCGGACAAACCATGAACAAGGACCTGCACGAGATAGCAAAACGGTTTGAGCCACATGTTCGTCTATGGTCTGCCGTGCCCACAAAAGGCGTAGGTCTAGAGCTGGTGTCTTTTTAACTAGTGCGTCGACGTCACGTGGAACATAAGTGGCGGCACGAGTGGCGCGTCCCAAAACAGCGAAGGTGAGGCGTCGAACCAGCAGTGTCGCGACAACAGTGACGTAGTTGGAAACCAAGTGCACGTGGCGAAGTCAGGCAGATATGCCTGGTCCATTGCTTTAGTCTTCGGTAGTTGCAGAAACGTTGATCCGGACAGACCATGAACAAGGACCTGCACGAGGTAGCAAAACGGTTTGAGCCACATGTTCGTCGATGGTCTGCCATGCCCACCTCTGCTGTGTGTACAGAATACTCTCTGTACACACAGCAGCATCTTTTTTTTTTCAATATGCAGACAGAAATATTACAGTGGAACATCCGAGGCCTTCTTCGAAACCTCAATGACTTACAAGAACTCCTTCATGAACACAATCCTAGGGTGCTATGCGTACAAGAGACACACTTAAAACGAATAAACACAAACTTTTTACGTAACTACGTAATCTTCCGAGAGGATAGAGATGATGCCATGCCACCATCTGATGGTGTAGTGGTTATAGGTAGTCAAGGTATGGCATGTACACAATTA